TCCTACCCTTGGTACGACGATGAGTATATCAATGACGTCGGTGATAGGGGGATGATGCGGTATGAAGTCTTTGTACTTGGTTTTTTCTTTTTTGTGTTTTGCTATTTTTTTGTTGGGGTGTCTTTCAAGCCCTTTGTAAAATGTATTGGAATGGAATGATTAAAATGGAATAGTTGTCTTTTGCTGTGTATTTCCGGCTCTTATTTATTTTTTCTTTCCTTTGAGCATTCTTTTGTGATAAAGTCCCTGACTTTCGGTCAGTCGTAAGTTGATTCGAATGAGGTCGAATGTAGATCGATTCAAACAAGGTCGAATGTAGATTGATTCTAACGAGGTAGAATGTAAGTTAATTCAAGCGAGGTCAAGTGTAGATTGATTCAAATGAGGTCGAATGTAGATTGATTCGAACAAGGTAGAATGTAGATCGATTTGAATAAGGTCGAATGTAGATAAATTTGAATGAGGTTGAATATAGATGGATTCGAACAAGGTTGAATGTAGATTGATTCAAATGAGGTTGAATGTAGATTGATTCGAGCGAGGTCGCATTTAGATCGATTCGAGCAAGGTCAAATGTAGATCGATTCGAATCAGGTCGAATGTAAGTTAATTCGAGTGAGGTCGAATGTAGATTGATTCGAATGAGGTTAAATGTAAGTTAATTCGAGCGAAGTCAAAAGTAGACGTCAAAAATAATTCGAGTAAAATCGAATGTGCATTTCCTTTGCGTTGGCATGATGTGTAAATTTGGCGGAGTTGTGTAAGAATGTCATATGCTACTTTGTTTAATCATTGGAGAATTATATTTCTGTTCGGTCCATACATACATTTGAGGAGTCCCAGTCTATCTAGTCCTTTCATCGCTCGACCTAGAGAAGTAGTCGATAGGCGGGGCGATGAACTTAATACCTAAACTTCGAGACGCCTTCATCATCGCCTCATTAAAAATCTCCCCGAGAAAACCCAATTGGGACAAAACTCGGGTAAGGAAAAAAGAGTATGACTTGGAGGACATCCGTCTTTAAAAGTTGAAGTATTTGAGGTGGGCGATGTTCCAATTGTTTGGTAGTAGTTTTCCCTCTATTGTTTCTAGTTGGAATGACCCTTTGTTTGCTGTTTCCATGATTTTGTATGGTCCGTCCCAATTGGTTCCCAGTTTGCCTTCCTGTGGGTCTTTGCTTTCTTGTGTTTTGGCTTTGAGTACATAGTCCCCTACCTTGAGTGGTCTGACTTTGGATTTTTTGTTGTAGTACCGTTCTGCTTGCTATTTTTGAGCTATCATTCTTACGTAGGCCATGTCTCTTAACTCATCTATTTCGTCGAGGTCTTGCTTTCTGCTTTCATTGTTACTTGGTCCACTCTCGTTGGAGTATCTCAAACTTAGCTCCCCGACTTCGGCTGGTATCACTGCGTCAGTCCCATAGACTAGTGAATATGGCATTTATCCTATGCTTGTTTTTGGCTTGGTATGGTATGCCCACAACATTTTCGGTAGCAGTTCCAGCCACAGTCCCTTGGCGTCCTCAAGCTTCTTCTTCATAATGTTCGGTATTGTTTTATTGGAGGACTCCGCCTAACCGTTACTTGTGGGATGATATGGAGTGGAGAGTATTCGCTTGATGTGCCATTTCTCCAAGAATTTGGCGGTCTTTTTTTCGGTAAATTGGGGTCCATTGTCACAACTGATTTCTTTAGGGATTCCGAAGCGGCATATGATGTTCCTCCATATGAATGTGATAACTTCCTATTTACATATTTTGGCGAATGCACCTACTTCTAACCATTTGAAAAATTTTCAGTTAAAACCAAAAGAAATCGTACATTACCTCGTCCTGCTGGAAGGGGTCCAACAATGTCCATCCCCCATTTGATGAATGGCCAAGGCGATGTGATCGAGTAGAGGTGCTCGCCCGCCTGGTGGATCAGTGGAGCGTATTTTTGGCATTGTTCGCACTTTCTAATGAAGTCGGCGGCTTCCTTTTTCATGGTGGGCCAGTAATAGCCTGCCCGTATGAGGCATCTAATAAGGGCTCGATTACTAGTGTGGACTCCACAGTGGCCTTCGTGTACTTCTTTGAGGACGCTCCTAGTTTGGTTTGGTCGTAGGCACTTCGCCAAGGGACTGCCAAACAATCTTTTATACAGGTCATGGTTGATGATGTTGTATTGGGCCACCTGCATTCAAAGCTTCTTGTCTTCTTTTTTGTCGGGTGGGAACACTCCGTCCTGCAAATATGACATAATACGGTTGCACCAGTCCCAAGACAAGTTTATAGTACGTACCTCAATTTGGTCTATCGATGAACGGAGGATGGTGGCCACGTTTTCTTTTCTGCTTATGTTCTTGGTGGCTGCTGCTAATTTGGCAAGGCCGTTTGCTTTGATGTTTTGTGCTTGAGGTATCTGGTCGAGTTGGCACTCGTCGAACTCGGGCAGTAGCTTATGAATTTCTGCCTGATATTTTGTAGCCTCTGTTCTTTGATTTGGAAAGTCCGTGTGACTTGGTTGACGACGAGTTGTGAGTCACATCGGAGGATGACTCGCCGTGCTCCATACTTGAGAGCTATTTTCAGTCCTGCAATTACGACCTCATACTCGGCCTCATTGTTAGTCATGCCGGGACACCATATGGGCTGGCGGATGACTTTGCTTGTTGGAAGCCCTATTAGTGTACATGACCCATATATTGGATAACTTGGGGAGGTACGGGAGGATTCCTGCTCGGCCTCAGGCATTATTTTGGCAACGAAGTTGGAGAGTACTTGCGATTTTATCACTTTTTGTCGCTTAATTTGATGGACCACTTTGCCAGTCTACCCAACAATTTGGGTTTAGGTAGGATGCTTCTTAGGGGGAAGGTCGTGACCACCGAGATGGGGTGGTACTGAAAATAGGGTCTAAGGTTTCGTGAAGCTACGACTAATGCCAGGGCCAGTTTTTCGAGGTGAGGATACCTTGTTTCAGCATCGACCAGGGTTTTACTAATGTAATATATTGGAAATTGTGTACCTTTGTTTTCACGGACCAAGACTACTCATACTGCGGTGTCAGATACGGCCAAGTAGATTAAGAGACGTTTGCCAGGTTCTGCCTTGGCGAGTAATGGGGGCGAGGACAAGTATGCCTTTAATTCTCTTAGGGCATTGATGCATTCAGAATTCTACTAGAGTCCATTGTCCTTTTTTAGTATGTTGAAGAATTTGTGGCATCTGTTAGAGGATCGTGAGATTAACCTTGACATGGTGGCTATACGATCGGTCAACTTCTGCACCTGTTTCTTATTGGTCAAAATTTCAGGTATTCCCTCTATAGCCTTGATTTGGTCGGAGTTGACCTCGATGCCTATCTACGACACCAAAAAGCTGAGGAACTTTCCCGAGGTCACGCTGAAAGCACACTTTTCGGGGTTCAGCTTCATGTTGTATCGCCTAAGTATGTCGAAGGCTTCCCTCATGTGGTCTATGCGGTCCTCTTTTCTTTTTGATTTGACCAAAATGTTGTCTATATAGACTTCCATTATTTTGCCAAGTTGCTTTTTGAACATGTTAGTGACCAGCCTTTGATAGGTCGCCCCTGTATTTTTTAACCCAAGCGGCATGACTCTGTAGTAGTACGTCCCTCGGTGGATGATGAAGTTGGTCTTTTCCTGGTCCTCCTCCTCTATGAGGATTTGGTTGTAGCCTGAGTAGGCATCCAAGAAGCTTAATAACTCATGCCCAGCTGTAGCGTCGATGAGCTGATAGATGTGAGGCAACGGGAAAGAGTTTTTCAGGTAGGCTTTGTTTAGGTCCATGAAGTCTACGCACATGCGCTATTTCCCTTTTTTCTTTTTTACCATGACCGCATTGGCGACCCATTGGGAGTACTTTGACTCTTGAATGGAACCGTTGATGAGCAATTTTTCTACGTCTTCGCGGACGGCATCGTTGATTACAACATTGAACTTTCTTCTGGTTTGTCGTACTGGCGGGTAGAGTGGATCAACATTAAGCTTGTGTGTTGCAATGTATTTCAGGATACCTAGCATGTCTGCATGGGAGAAAGCAAACAGATCGGCGTTGTCAATAAAAAATTTATGGAATTTACCTGGTTCTGTGAGTTTGTGGCCGTGTAGGCTTTTCTGTTGTGGTCGCTTTTGTCCAGCTGGATGGGATTGAGGACTTCCATTGTTGACCTTGTGGCTTCCACGATGTCGGGGTCTTTGACGACGTCTCTTTTCTCGTCAGACTCGAGCCCCGATGCTGGTAATTGCTATACTGCTGAGTCTTCCCTTATTAATTGTTGAGTGTATGTGCAGTCTTGGGCGATGCAGTAGCATTCTTGAGCTATTCGCTATTCACAACGAATGCTGAATATCCCCATGTGATAGGGAACTTGATGACCTAATATAAACTAGACAGAATGACCCTCATGACGTGTATCCAAGGTCGCCCTATAATGGCATTGTAGGTTGTGTCTTGGTTCATGACATGGAATGTTATTTCCAGGGTGACTCCCCTGGCCAGAACGGGCAATGTTATCTCTCCGGAGGTTCGTTCAACTGCATTGTTAAAACCTATTAGTGTTATGCAGCATGGTACTATATTATCCTCGAGTCTCATTTGTGTGAGAACTCTAGGGTGGATAATACACGCGTCGCTCCTGTCGTCTACCATGATTCTTTTTTGTTTGGTATCTGAAATTTGTAAAGTAATAACAAGAGCGTCGAAATGAGGAAAGGTCGAACCGTGTGTATTTGACTTATCAAAGATGACATTGTCTTTGAGGTCATCATACTGTTCATGGGTGATTGACCGCTTCAATTTGTGTGTGGTGGTGAACTTCACATCGTTGATTGTTGCTTCGTCGCCTCCGCCGATGATCATTTGGATAGTGCGGGCGGGGGAGGGTGGCTTTGGGGGGCCTTGATATGGTTCTCATCCACGGGCGAAATTAGCTCTCCCTCGGTCGCTCATCAGCTCCTTTAAATGTCCTTGGTGGAGCATGTTCACCGCTTCTTGTCATAAGGCTATGCAATCCTCGATCTTGTAGCCTCGTTCTTGATGGAACTCGTAGAGGGCATTCGACTTTCTGGAATTTGGGTCCAACTTCATCTTTTGTGGCCATTTCACCTTAGGACCGAGCTTCTCTAGGGCGTAAACTATTTCTGAAGGAGAAATACAAAAATTGTGAGCAGATAAAAGTGGAGGAATACCTCTTTCATTTCGGTGAGTTCCCATTTGTGGCCTGGACACCCCTTCTTCTTGGTAGGGAGGTAGTGGGATGGTCGCTCTAATGTACGGTTGGTGCATTTTCCAATTGAGGCGCGGACCTGCGTGATCTCTTCAGCTATCATTCCGTCGATCTTTCCTTGATTCCATTTGGACTATCATTAGCCATTAGGTTAGACCATTGAGGTCGTCTTCGTCTGCTCTCACCTCGGAATAGTAAGCATTGTGAATTTCTTCCGATGTGGTGGGAGGGTATTTTATGAGTCTGCTTAATAGTTTTCTAGTCGCCCTCGACCCATTCCTGTTTAACCCATTTTGAAAGGCCGCTACCGCCATCCCCTTTGACATGTTTGGCAGGCTCATTCTTACTTTGTTGAACCGGGCTCGGAAGTCCCTGAGTCCTTCGCCAGGCGATTGTTTGATGGCGAATATGTCATTCACTCTGTCTTCTGCTTTCTTGGCCCCGACATAGGCGATGACGGACTTGTCGGCCATTTCCTTGAACGTCATTATAGAATGTGCTAGTAATTGTGAGTACCATGTTGAGGCTCCTCCTGTTAGGGTTTCGGCAAACTTCTTCAGAAGCACCAACGGTACCTGCTCTTTTGAGTGGTTGTTGCCTTTTACCGTCTTGATGTAATGAATGATATGGTCTTCAGGGTCTGTTGTGCCGTCATATATTTTCAGATATGATGGCATTTTAAAGGTTTTGGGTATGGCATGTGGGGATGCCTCCTCGCTGTATGGCTGTTCCACGAACCGACCGAATTCCCATTTTTGGCAGGAGTTTTGAGGCGCCTGGTATCTTATCAACCCTTTCTTGGTTCTCCCTCATTTTGTCGTGGAGCGCTTTATTCTCATTCTCTATTTCTTTTATTTTCTTCAGAATAGCTACGAGGGCATCATTACCTACATCAACAACTGTGTGAGTGTTACCTGTTGGGGGAGGAGCGTGTTGCTCGTTGACGGTTATTGGGGTGTCAACTTGTGCGGTATTCCTGCTTGCCCCTTGAGTGGTCTTGTCGAGTATACTGCTTAGGGTACTTGTCAGCCACACCTCCAATAACTCTTTCACTACGGGTGGCGCTTCATCTGTTGTGGACATAGAGGCTACCTTCTCATGTGAAGCGGTTACACTCCCATGAGGAGGAGGTGAGTCACTTTGCCTGGGTGAGGCGCTCGGTGTCACATTCTCCTCCTCTTCCCTGTCCACATCGTTGATGGTGCCTAGGAGGTTAGTAGTGACATCCATCACTGCTTTCAATCTTTCCTCTCCTTTTCTTGCCATTGTTAGCTTGTGAAAATAAGAAAGAAAGGGGTTTTTGTTGATTTTTTTAGATCTAGAAGAAACTAAACATTTTAACTAGGAAGTCCCCACAGACTGCGCCAAATTGTTCGACCAAAGCGTTTTAAGCCGTTTTTGTTAAACCAATTTAATAAATAGATAAAGGGTGAATCTAAGTTAAAAGAAATAAATCCCAAATCTGAAGTTTAACAACTTTGGTGGTACGGGACCGTGTTCAGGTTAACCAATGTCAAGTTAATGCTTAATGTCTATCAATAAATGGGAGAATGAAAGCATGCAATAAATGTGACAAATGGTATTAAAGGTAATAAGAAGGAATTTGTCACCCAAATGTTGAATAAGATGGATGATTCATTCTTCTGACTATAGCGTGTGATAGCAGACTATGGAAATGAACAAAGTGTTCTTGAATCTTGTGAATACAGGAGGAATGTTTTGTAATGGAATCAAATAGAGGAGACAAGACAAGCTTTTTGTATATTCTTGATAGTCAACCCTTTACAAGATGTTCTCTCATAAAAGTACCAAGAGACCTTTTGTTTCCTCTCTCCTTCTATTTATAAGGGATATTCCTAGAAAACCCTAAAAAAGTACAATTTGGGGGAATATTCAATGGAATATTCCTATTCACAATCCTAGGAATATTCTAACAGTTGCAGCTGTTTGTTCTCTACTCGACCTCGACACTGGTCCCTCTCTCTAAGCGACTCCTCGCCACTGGATCGTGCTTGGTTTCGACCTCGGCCTCAGCTCGTCCTTCTGCATTCACTTAACTAGACCTAATTGTGACCCATACATCTCTTTGGGAAAACAATGTTGGAATTGATATATTTCATATGCCTACGCCTACTTTTAAAACAAATGGTGATAAATTCGTGAAGTGACCTGGGTTATCTTTTACAAATTAAAAAAAACTGTTGTATCTGTAAAAGATTGGTGTTGAAATACTAAAAGCGTTAACGTATAAAAAAAGTTATTCATATGATTTTATTCAAATAGTTTAGATTGACTATAAACATTATGATTTGATAAAATAAATCCTTTGAGGCTAGTAGGATATGAATCTATTTTTGATATGTCAAATATTTTGAGAATTACTAGTGAAGAGGACCGAGGTTGGTTCGAATATTAAGTTCGTTACCATGGAACTACATATATCGGTATAGGGACACATTTCAAGGCTACGTAGAGATATTTGGGATAAAGTCCTCTATTATGAGGGCAAATAATTATTGCTTAATGTAATATGTTTACACTATGGAAAGCTGCTACTACAAGTAAGATTTGTTGCTAGATTAATCACAGTAAAAAGTAAAAGAGAAATTTCTTATGTTTAGGTCTAAGTAGCGAAAAGTGATTTCAATGACTTAATAATTGAAATAGTTTTATATGATTTTTATTAAAATCATGGATTGATATAAATATCTAAAAGTTTATCTCATGGTTTACATTTTACATGTCTTTTCATTTACAATGATAAGGAACATGATTGCTATAACTTTTTTTCATTTTATATTAAATATTCATTGCATTATTCTGTAAAGTCTTGTCACAAGAATTTAAGTTATTTATGACATTTATTGAATACGTGACAATGTACTCAGCTCTCTTGGTTCCCTCTTGTGACGACCCGACTAGTCATTTTAAGTGTTTGTACTTCGTTCGGTAGTTTGAGGGCACAAGTATCTCCGCATGATGTATTATGACTTGCGTGAATCATCGGTTTTAGTTTTCAAGTTATTCAGAATCGATTTGCAAGAATGAACTTCAAGATTTAAGCTCTAAGTTGGAAAAGTTGACCAAGTTTGACTTTTTAGAATTTGACCTCGGAATGGAGTTTCGTCAATTTTGTTAGCTCCATTGGGTAATTTTGGACTTAGGAGCACGTCCGGATTGTGATTTGGAGGTCCATAATTGAATTAGACTTGAAATGACGAAAGTTGAATTTTTGGAAAGTTTGATCGGGAGTGGACTTTTTGATATCGGAGTCGGATTCAAAATTTGAAAGTTGGAGTAGGTCCGCAATGTCAAATGTGACTTGTGCGCAAAATTTGAGGTCAATCGGACGTGGTTTAATAGGTTTCGGCATCGGTTGTAGAAGTTTAAGGTTTCAAAGTTCATTGATCTTGACTTGTGGTACGATTCGTCATTTCGAGGTTGTTATTCGTAGTTTGAAGCCTCGAGTAGGTTTTCATTTTATCATATGGAACTTGCCTGCAAAATTTGGCGCTATTTGGAGTTGATTCGATATTGCTCATACTCTTGGTTTCTTTTCTAGGAGTTCTTGAAGTTTCATATGTTTTGGCGTTCGATTAGTGCTTTTAGAGGTTATTTGGATGTTTTTGATCGCGCGAGCGAGTTCATGTCATATTTTTGGACTTGTGTTCATGTTTGGTTTAGAACCCTGAGGGCTCGGGTGAGTTTCGGTTAAGCTTCGGAGTGGTTCTGGAGTTAGAAAAAATAGCTGGTGTAGCTGTTTCTAGTGCAGGCCACAATACTCGCAATTGCAATGTCCGAGTTCGCATTTGCGAAACATTGCCAAGATTGATGGGTTCGCATTTGCGAACCCATTATTCACATTTGCGAAGTGCACCTATGGAGAGCTTCTTTGCATTTGCGATCATTTTGGTTGTATTTGCGGAGGGTACATTGTTCGCAATTGCGATGACAACAAAAATGGGAAGACTTCGCAATTACAAGTGGTTCTTCGCATTTGCGAACCCCAAGTCGTAAATGTGACATCTGCGACTAGACAAATAGTTGAACCCTGGCACATGCATATATGCTCGTCATTATTATATTACTATGGCCGATGGAGTGTTTATACATTATTACACATATTCATGAACCTTGGCACATGCATAATTGCTCGTCATTGTGATTGGGGTTTCATTTGGAATATTCATTTAAAAATTCTACTTGATGTATTTATGCTTCCTACCTTATTTGTCATTGATATACATATGCTTGATAAGGAAGAGTGTAAAGCACGAAGGGAGATGCCGTGCCATTGTATATACATTATCATGTGAGGGAGAGTGTAAAGCACGAAGGGTAATGTCGTGCCATATCATTTGAGAGTAAAGCACGAAGGGTGATGTCGTGCCATATTATTTGAGAGTAAAGCACGAAGGGTGATGCCGTGCCATATTATTTGAGAGTAAAGCACGAAGGGTGATGTCGTGCCATATTATTTGAGAGTAAAGCACGAAGGGTGATGCCGTGCCATATTATTTGAGAGTAAAAACACAAAGGGTGATACCATGCAATATTATTTGAGAGTAAAAGCACGAAGGGTGATGTCGTACCATATCATTTGAGGGTAAAAGTACGAATGGTGATGTCGTGCCATTTCATTTATATTATCATGCTTTTTTGTTATCACGAGTTCATGGCACGAAGAGTGATTCCGTGCAAGTGAGGACGAGGGACATGCATTTTGTTATGATATCTTTACCTCGTATTTACGTTAATTTCTTTACCTTGAGTTGTTATTGTCGTACTTATGGTTCTTATATGACTTGCCGTTATTGTTCTGTCTATATTCTTTACCTCAATTGCTGTTGTGTTGCCCCTGCCTTCTACCTGCTTAACTTGCAAATACCATGTATACTTACTGTTGTTATATCTATATCCATGTCGTATCTATTTTGTTACACTTTAATACAAGCCTTCTACCATGTTAGTCATCCATGCCACTACCTATTAGCTTATAAAGATCATGTTTTTCCTTCTTGTTAGTTATATTTACATCTAAACTTTATACCATGTTAGTTAGTGAAATCTATGTTCTACTATACTTGCTATCACTTTTGTGCCCTCTATCTCGTCTATTTCTATTCTATATGCTTCCGGCTTCTTAATTGTTACTTTCTAGGTACTCTCTACTTGGTGGACATTATTGTTAGAAATTATTCTACCTGGTTGGTTACTGTATGCACATTTGGTAAGGATGAGATGAACGCACGAAGGGTGTTGCCGTGCTAATTGATTTGACACATAATTATTTGTATATGGTGAGGAAGAGATAAAAGAACGAAGGGTGTTACCGAGCCATTTGATTTGATATCTTGGATATACTTCTCACACCAGGAAAGATTATGAATTTTCTACTATGATTTCTCCTAGTAATCGTTTACTGTCTCGCATAATTGTTTATGGTACTCTTATCTATTATGTTCTTGAACTGTCTATACTGTTAGTCTAATGTACATATTATAACAGTAAGCATCTTTAAACTAAAAATCCTCGTCACTACTTCAACGAGATTAGACAAGATACTTACTGGGTACATGGGGTCGGTTGTACTCATATTACACTTCTGCACCTTGCGTTCAAATTTTTCTCTTAGAGCGGAGCTCCTGGTGATTCGGGAGCTGACTCGTAAGATGTT